ACCCAGCCACCATCAGTTCTGAGGAAGGGTCACCGGACCCGAAACGTTAACTGTGTTTTCTCCTTCACAGATGCTGCCAGACCTGATCAGCTTTTTCAGCAACTTTGTTTTTGTTCCTGATTTACAGCATCCGCAGTTCTTTTGGTTTTTACCTATTATCATTGTCTCCTCTGGGTAAATGAATTGGGATGGTCTGATGTAATGGTGCTTCTTTAACATAGACAGTGGCTTGAAACCAATGAGGACCAAGCCTGGAGAATCAAATCTCATCATCTCCTCTGTTTCCTCTTTCTCCAGAACAATCTGTCTGCGTCCGTAAACCTCAGAACAAAAAAAGGAACAAGGATCAGGATTGCATCTGCCCGAATTTGTACTAAAAACCTTTTAAATAACTCACTTCCTGAGTCCCCAAAGCCTGTCCACCATCTACATGTCAGGAGGGTGGTGGATTACTCCCCACTTGCATGGATGGGTGCAGCTCCAAACCAATCAGGAAGCTTGACACCATCCAGACCAAGGCATCCTGCTTTGATTGGTACCACATCCACAAACATTCACTCCCTCCACCACTGATGCTCAGTAACAGCAACGTATACCATCTCTGAGGTGCAGTGCAGAAATTCACCAAAGCTCTTTAAAAAATATTTTCCAAACACATGACTACTTCCATCAGTGTGTACCATCTACAAGATACACTACAACACCTTCCAATGCACCTGCCCAAACCCGTGACACCTCCCATTTAGAAGGACGAAGGCAGCAGATGCATAGGAACACCATCACCTTCAAGTTGCACTCCAAAGCCACATTCCATCTGACCTAGAACTATATCACTGTCTCTTCAGTCTCACTGGGACAAAGTTTTGGAATGCTCTCCCTAACAGCATTGTGGGTCTACCTACAGCACATGGCCTGCAGCAGTTCATGGTGATTCACCACCATTCCCAAGGGCAATTAGGGATGGGCAACTAATTCTGACCTAGCCAATGTTTCCCACATCTGTGAAAGAATAAATAAAACTAATTTGTCTTTATGTAGCAAATTTAACACAGCAAATCGTTCCAAATTTCTTCACAGGAGCACGATAAAATGATATTTAATACCAAGTAACATAAGGAGATAAGTTCAGGAGAACAAAAACTTGGTTGAAGAGGCTGTTTTTACAGAGTGTCTTAGGAGGAGAAAAGAGGGAGCAAGAGAGGTGGACAGAGAGGTTTAGGGAGAGAATTACAGTACTTGGGGTCCAGCAGCTGAAGGATACTTGCCAATGATGATGAAAATCAGGGATATGCAAGAGACAATACTCTAAGAGGTACAGAGATCTCCTAGCTGTGTGGGGCCACAGGAGGGAATAGAGATAGGGAAGGGCGAGACCATGAAGGCATTTCAAATCAAAGATGAGAATTTGAAAATTCAGGCATTGCTAGAACAATGTAGGTTGCTGGCCACAGGGCGAAGCGGGCTTTGTATGAGTTAGGTTACAGGCATGATTCTATGATGATTGTATGATTTCAGTTTGTAAGTTGATGTCGATGTAAAGGTGACGATCTCCCATCTCAAAGTCATTTGAAAACAAGAATTGATCTGATGTGGAAAAAATATGACCGGTCTTATTAGTGCTGAGCATGTTTATGCCTCTCAGCTCAGATCTCCCATCTCAAACTCAACTGAGAACAAGAACTGATCACACGGTGGGGCCAGTTAGCCCAGTTGGTTGGATGGTTGGTTTGTGATACAAAGTGAAGCCAATAGCAAGGCTTTAATTGCTGCACCCGCTGAGGTTACCATGAAGGCGCTGCCTTCTCAACCTTGATGTAGCCCCCTTGCCACAGGCACGGTGCCCCTCAGGTTAAAGTGACCATCAGTTATCTCTCTCTCTCACTAACGAGAGAGCAGCCCTACAGTCCTCTGGGACTACAATATCACCTTATGTGACACTAGTGTGCAACCTGTTCAAACTAAGCTGAGAGGCAAAGACATGCTCAGCACTCATTACTCATAAGACAATTTTTTCTTTATTCATTCATGGGGTAAGGGGCATTGCTGGCTAGGCAGCATTTATTAATTGCCCACATTGTTGTGGGCCTGGGGTCACATATAGGCCAGACCAGGTAAGGATGGCAGTTTCCTTCCCGACAGGACATTAGTGAACTAGATGGGTTTTTCCTGATTATCAACAATGGATTCATGGTCACCGTTAGACTCTTAATTCCAGCTTTCTACTGAATTCAAATTCCACCATCTGCCATGGCGGGATTCGAACCCAGGTCCCCAGAATGTTATCTGGGTCTCTGGATTAACAATCCAGCGGTAATACCACTAGGCCATCACCTCCCCCTGGTCATATTTTCTCACATCAGATTAGCAGAGATAATCCAATAACACTCAAAGGTGGCGTTACAGGTAGACAATGTAGTGAAGAAGGCGTTTGGCACACCCTCGCCAGAGCACTGAGTATAGGAGTTGGGACGTGATGTTGAAGCTGTACAGAACACTGGTTCGGCCACTTTGGAGTACTGTGTGCAATTCCGGTCACCCTGCTATAGGAAGGATATTATTAAATTAGAGAGGGTCCAGAAAAAAATTTACCAGGATGTTACTGGGGCTGGAGGGTTGAGTTATAAGGAGAACTGGATAGGTTGGAACTTTTTTCCCTGGAACATAGGAGGCTGAGGGATGACTTTATAGAGGTTTATAAAATCATGAGGGGCATGGATAGGGTGAATAGCCAAGGTCTTTTCTCTAGGGTCGGGGGGTACAAAACTACAGTGCATGGGTTTAAGGTGAGAGGTTTAAAAAGGTACCTGGGGGGCAACTTTTTCACACAAAGGATGATTTGTGTGAGGAATTTTTTTATTATATATAGAATCCGTACAGTGTGGAAACAAGCCCTTCGGCCCAACAAATCCACACTGACCCATCCCCCTAACCTACACATCCCTGAACATTATGGGCAATTTAGCCTGGCCAATTCACCTAGCCTGCACATTTTTGGATTGTGGGAAGAAACTGGAGCACCCGGAGGAAACCCACGCAGACAGGGGGAGAATGTGCAAACTCCACACAGTCGCCCAAGGGTGGAATCGAACCCAGGTCCCTGGCGCTGTGAGGCAGCAGTGCTAACCACTGAGCCACCTTGCCACCCAAAAGCCTACTGTACCTGGTATTCCCAGGCAGTCTCCCATCCAAGTACTAACCAGGCCAGAGTCTGCTTAGCTTCCAAGATCAGACATTTTCAGACTAGTATGGCCATAGGCATGAGCTGCCAGAGAAAGTGGTAGATGCAGGTACTGTTATAACATATAAAAGACATTTAGATAGGTACATGAATAAGAAAGGTTCAAACACAGGCAAATGGGACTAGATTAGTTTGAGAGACCTGCACGGCCTGGACAGGTTGTAAGTTAGAAATTGATGTTTCCATGTTTGGGGAGAGCTAACAGAATGATATTATTTATTGCAAAGGGATTTGAATACACAAGTAGGGAGAGTATGCTTCAGTTATGTATTGGAAGCAGTTCAGAGAATGTTTACTAGACCAATACTTTCTTTACTCAGAGAGTAGTAAGGGCGTGGAATGCCCTGCCTGCAACAGTAGTAGACTCGCCAACTTTAAGGGCATTTAAATGGTCATTGGATAAACATATGGATGATAATGGAATAGTGTAGGTTAGATGGGCTTCAATGGGCTTCAGATTGGTTTCACAGGTCGGCGCAACATCGAGGGCCGAAGGGCCTGTACTGCGCTGTAATGTTCTATGTTCTAATACTTAGAGTGAGACGGTTGTCTGTAAGGAAAGTTTAGACAAGTTATGATTGAGTTTGTTGGAGCTTAGAAGAGGAAGAAGCAACGTGACAGGGACAAATATAAACCTGAGGGGCTTGACCGGATGGCTGTGTTGAGAATGTTTCCTCTTGTGGGAGAATCTTGAACGAGGTGTCACTCAGGGGTCCCCCATTTAAAACAGAGAGCAGGTGGGATTCTTGTTCTCTCAGAGGGTTGTGAATCTTTAGAAATGCTTTCCTGAGAATCTGCTGGAAGCAGAGCCATTGAATCTTTTGAAGGCAGAGGTGGATAGATTCTGGTTAAGCAAAGGGGGTGAAAGGTTATCAAGGTGTGGATTTGATCTTACTAAATGGCAGAGCAAGCTCTAGGAGCCAAATGATCTTTATTCCCACTTCTGGGATGTGGGTGTCATTGTCGGTGTCATGGGTGTCATTGGCAAGGCCAGAATTTAGAATCAGGGAAGAATCACAGAATCTGTGGAAAGAGGCTACTTGGCCCATCGGGTCTGCAAAGAGCATCCCAGCCCCCTACCCTATCCCTCTAACCCCACACTTCCCATGGGTACCCACCTAACTTATACATCCCTGGACACTATGGGCCAATTTAGTACAGCCAATCCACCTAGCCTGCACATCTTTGGACTGTGGGAAGAAACCCACACAGACATGGGGAGAATGTGCAAACGCCACACAGACAGTGGCCTGAGACTGGAATCAAACCTGGGTCCCTGGAACTGTGAGGCAGCAAGTGCTAACCACTGAGCCACCGTGCCGCCCTTACTGCCCATCCCTAACTGCTCCTTGAACTTAGTGGCTTGCTTCACCATTTCAAAAGGCAGTTAAGAGTTAATCACATTGCTGCTGGGACTGGAGTCATATGTAGGCCAGACCAGGTAAGGGTGGCAGATTTCTTTCCCTACGAGACATTAGTGAACCAGATGAGTATTTAGGACAATCAACACTGGATATTATTCTCGGCTTTTAATGCCAGATTTTCGCTAAATTCAGATTTCACCATCTGCCACAGTGGGATTGAAACCCATGTCTCCATGAGACTCTGAGTTATTAGTCCAGGGACATTACCATATATCTCAACCTCCTCACTCCTGATCCTACCCCGTATGTATGTCATCTGTAAGATTCAGCAATGACAAAGTTCACTACCTGGGCCTTTTTGGTATCACTGGGCAGGAGCAGGCTGCCTGTCTCCCCATTAAACCAGCGAGTTTTGGTTTTGACTGGCTCATTAGTTTCTCGGTAAAGGCGGATTGCAGTGGGCTTCCTGGTGCTCTGGATCAGATTGTAAACTCCGACAGAAAGCTCCACGCCTTCTCCCAGATTCAGGTGCAGCCTGAAGAACAGAACATCAAACACTGTCAGCAACACACGAAGAGAGAGAGGGGCAAAAGGGCAGAAACACATTAAAATTGACACTTACTGATGGTTGGAAAAGGTGACTGTTTAGGCACGATAGGTTAAACTGAGATCTTGACTACCTAGTTAGTTCATTGTGAAGATCCCGTGGCACCAGCATCCTGACTTGGAAGTATATTGTCGTTCCTCCAGTTGGAATCCTGGAATTCCTTCCCTAAGAGCATTGTGGGTCTACCCACACCAAACGGACTGCAACAGTTCAAGAAGGCAGCTCACCATCACCTTCTCACAGGCAACTAGGGATGGGCAACAAATGTTGGCCCAGGCAGTGATGGCCACATTCCATGAATGAATAAAGAAAAGAGGAAGGGAGCCCTTTCTTGGGCAACATTTGTTCTTCCATTAACCATCAACAAACAGAAACAGTCATTTGTCTCACTGTGGAAACTTTAGTGGACAGAAGTTGCCACATTTACCAACAGTACAGCTTCAGGAGCAACATGATGCACCTGATGTTCCTGTTCAGAATTTACAGCGTAAAAACAGGCCAGCCGGGCACTGCAGGGGCGGGAGTACATTATCTCTGCCCTCCATAACATTTCAAAGGGCTCTTGTGGTGAAGTGGTGGTGTCACTACCGCTGGATTAAGGAGGCCCAGGTCCAGGTCCCACCTGCTCGAGAGGTGTGTTATAACTTCCCTGAACAGGCTAATTAGAAAATATCTCACAACAGGCCATTCAGTCCACCATGTTATTGATGCTCCACACAGACCTCTTCCTAACCATCTTTGTTTAACTTTATTAGCATCTGTCTGTCCAGGCTCCCTGTAAATACATCCACATTGTTCTCTTCAACCACGTCCTGTGGTATTGAGTTCCACATTCTCACCACTCCTTGGATGACGAAATTCCCGATTTGATTCCTTGGTCACTGTCTCACAATGATGATCTCTAGTCTTGTTCTTCTGTGTGAGTGAAGATGCACTCCTTGGGGTCTATTCTAGCAAAATATTTCATTCTTTTAAAGACCTCTGTTACACCTTGACAAGAGAAGAGACACCTGGCGAGTTCATCCTCCCTGACGTTTAAAGCTATCCACATAAACAGTTGCTTTTTTATTCCACTTCAATAGAAACCATGAAGAAGCTGAGATGTCCCCTCTTCCTAAAAGCAGCCAGGAATTACGTTTCGAATCTGAGCTTGAGTGACACAAGCCATCATTGAACAGATTGTAAATCCGAGCTCAGACATAAAGTCTGCCAAGATCCACTTCGTCTTGAAAGCTTTCTCACATCTATTATCACATCAGGCAGACAAAGCACGTGTTTGCATCTGCATATAGAGTCATATATATTACAGCATGGAATGAGGTTCTTCTGCCTGTCCTGTCTGTACTGGTCATCAAGCATCTACTGTATCTATTCTAATCTCACTTCCCAGCACTTGGCCCAGAGCCTTGATGCTATGGCATTTCAAAGGTTCATCTAAATACCTTTTAAATGCTGTCGTGGTTCCTTTCTCCACCACACTTTCAAACAGTGAGTTCCAGGTACCCACCACACTCTGGGTGAAAACATTTCTCCTCAAATCCCCTCTAAGCCTCTTGCCCATGACAACTGATACCTCTACTAAAGGAAAAAGTTTGGTCCTATCAATTCTATCTATGCCCTCACAATCTCATACATCTCAATCAGTTCTCCCCTCAGCCTTCTCTGCTCCAAGGAAAATAACCCCAGCCTGTTCAGTGTCTGAACATAAGAATGAGGAGCAGGAGGAGGCCATTCAGCCCCTTGAGCCTGCTCCGCCATTTAATACGATCATGGCTGATCTCATCTAGGCCTCAGCTCCACTTTCCCGCCCGCTCTCCATAACCCTTCAACCTATTACTAATGAATATTTCCTCCTCAAATTTATTCACTGTTCCAGCATCCACTGCACTATGGGGCAGTGATTCATGATCCTTTGAGAGAAATAATTTCTCATCTTTATTTCAAATCTGCAATCCCTTATCCTAAAACTATGACCTCTCATACGAGACTGAGCCACATGACGAAACATTTGCTCTATATCTACTTTGTCAATCTCCTTTTGCATTTTATATAGCCCAATTAAGTCTCCTCTCATTCTTCTAAACTCCAGTGAGTACGGATCTAAACTACTCACAGCTGAAACTCTGCAGTGTTTTTTGTTGTGAAAAGGGTTGCCAGAGGCTGTAGGTTTTGAGAGGTGCCGCTCCAGGTCAGGCAGGGCTGACTATGACTCTTGCCACCTACTGCTTGTGCGTTGGAAGGATTTACAGATTGATAATTAAAGCGTGTAGCCGCATTATGAACAAAACCTTCCTTGGTCCCGAGGCTGGGATTTGAATCTGCAGCTTCTGGCTCAGAGGCAGGGACACTACCCACCGTGCCACAGGACTGCCACCGCAATCTAATAGGGAAGGTACTTGATCAGAAACTTCAGAGTCTCCTGGGACTCTGGAGGCTCTGTGCTGTTCCTAAGATAGCTGACCTGGTGATGGCTTTTTTCTTGTAGTCCTTGGCCCACATCTTCCGCAGCAGATCGTCCAACTTGGCTGATTCCATGCCTTGCGTGGCGCCATCATCGTCCTCTGTGACGCTGACAATGTCGCAGTAGAAGAGAGACATGTCAAACCCACCGGGTTTCTTCAGGTGCATTAGGTCCAAGATGATGCCTGCACACAGACAAGAACAGTGAGACTGACACTCCACTCACACCGACAAGGCAACGCTTTTTATTAACATTTCTCTATCAAAAATATCTATTCACAAAAGGAAAGATCTTCTCTCCCAACTTTCCTTAGATCATTCAAGTTCTTGCCTGGGGTAGAGATTATGACAAGCAGAGAGCCTATTTATTCTCCCAGGCTGACTGTTATCCACTCCTTTGTCTGTCCAACTGCTCTCTCTCTTTGGGCTCTATCTCCACCTATTGTTTACTCCTCCCAACCTATCTTCTGCATAAACACCAACCTTTTCCCAGCCACCATCAGTTCTGAAGTATGGTCATTGGACCAGAAACATTAAACCTGATTTTTCTCCATAGATGCTGCCAGACCTGCTGAGCTTTCTAATAATTTCTGTTCCTGTTAGAAGATGAGGGTCTTTCTTTTGATTATTTTTGACCTATGTGATCTCCGGGATGGTTTTGATTGCCTAAAAGAGGGTGTTAACATGGGCCCTGTTTATTTTCTTCGCTCGAGTCAATGGCTGCTTGTGGGTCAGGAGGTGTGAGGAGAGGAGAAGACACAAGGAAATGTTTCGGGTTGTGAGGATGGTGTAGGGCAGGCTCCGAACACGCAGCAAGTCTTTCCCTTCCCCTCAGTTTCGTACACTGGTGGGCCTCTGCTGTGAAATTATCTCATGGCCACTCCTGACAGACCGTGTTTCATGTGTGAGCCCTGACAGCCAAAGCAGTGAAGAGGATATCAGATGGAACTCCATTTCACCCAGCCCAACCCTGTTTGTTCTCGAATGGATCTGAAGCACAGTTTTTAAGCTACTCAAATCCCTCTGTGGTCTTGGCCCTACCTACCTTTGTCACAATACATGGTCCTACAAGGTATTGCATATTGGTAAAACAAACAAGGGCAGGACTTCTACAATTAAAAGTAGCGCCTTGGGTAGTGCTGTAGAACAGAGAGACCTAGGGGTCCAGGTATATAATTCTTTGAGATTTGCATTACAGGTAGACCGGGTGGTTAAGAAGGCATTTAGCACGCTTGCCTTCATTGCTCAGACCTTTGAGTATAGGAGTTGGGATGTTATGTTGAGGTTGTACAGGACGTTGGTGAGGCCTCTTCTAGAATACTGTGTCCAGTTCTGGTCGCCCTGTTATAGGAAGGATATTATTAAACTGGAGAGGGTTCAAAGGAAATTTACCAGGATGTTGCTGGGTATGGAAAATTTGAGTTATAAGGAGAGGCTGGGACTGAGGTTGTTGACTTGCTCGCCGAGCTGGCTTGTTTTTGTTCAGACGTTTCGTTGCCGTGCTAGGTGACATTATCAGTGGAGCCTCCAATGAAGCGATGTTGTTCTACTCCACTTGGGATTTATACTGTCCGGTCCGTTATGGTGAGTATTGTCATTTCTGGTTTTGATCTGTATGGGTTTATATATGGGGTCCAATTCTATATGTTGGTTGAATTCCCAGAGGCTGGACTATTTTCATTGAAGTCTAGGAGGCTGAGGGGTGACCTTATCGAGATTTGTACTTCCAGAGGAAGTGGTGAATGTAGGTATAGTTACAACATTTAAAAGACATTTCGATGAGTACATGAAGAAGAAATGTTTGATGGATATGGGCCAAGCGTAGGCAGGTGGGACTAGTTTAGTTTGGGATTATAGACCGAAAAGTCTATTTCCATGCTGTATGAGTCTATAACCTTCCATCATCTCTGTGCTCCTCCATTTCTTGCCACTTATGCACGGCCCAGTTCCCTCGCTCCACAAGGCACAGCTGTGCCCCAATCTGGAGCTGCTCTGTCTGGATCTCTCAATCTGTCTACCTTGCTTTCCGTCTTTAAGGTGTTCCTTAAAATTTACCTGATCAAAAGCTCCCTCTGTCTGTCTCCTAATATCTCCTCCAGTGACTCAGCGCCATACTTTGTTCCATTACTCCCAAGTAATGGTTTGGGATGTTATGCAATGTCAAAGATGATATGTAAATGCAAGTTGTTGTTGTGGCAGAGGGACAGTACTGTGCAGAGACTAAGTGTCTGTCACTGGAAGGATGTCACTGTTTTAAGTTGTTCTGTTTTTGTAGGGATCAGTTAGTGGATCATGTTTAACATTGAGAGTTCCGTCTTTGAGTCACCTCACACTGGGGTTAATGTTTGACAGTGTGACTTGATCAGTGTTACTCTGCCTGACCCACCCTCTCATTCTTAGATCCTCCAACTCCATCCCTCCTCCTCCGTGACTCTCCGACACATCATCACTCCTTTTCATTTCGACTCATGAACCCATCCTCACTTACTCCCTGACCCTTCAATTCACAACGCCACCAGCTCCCTAACCCTCTGACACATCACTCTTCCTTCCCAGTGACTCTCTGACTCATGGACCGACCCCGCTCCCAGCCGCTAACCTTCTGACCTGTGACATCTCGCACTCCCTGGCTCTAGGCAGCCGGTTGTCCTTCCCTATCGCAGCCTCTTGAGGGCAGGTCAGGGAACGGCAGAGGCTGTGAGCCAGAGGAATGATCGGCAGTGACCAGAAGGTCAGTGACAAGGGGAGGCTGCGTGGGGTTGCTGGGGGGGTGTGGACAGTGAGAGAGGGAGATCAGCAAGCTGGCTTGGAGGAGAGCAGCAAATGGGATGTCTGTTCATATCTTCAATTTTATTTTAATAATTATTTAATCTACCAATACATGAATTTAGCATAATGAAATATTTCAAATTATAGGATTTAATGTTTATACTCGATGAGAAAAATCCAACGGAACCTAATTTTAAAAAGGCTTTAATGGGAACATCTGATATGCTTTAAGTTAAAGTCATACTTTGGGGCTGTCTTGTGGGACAGTGGTAGTGTCCTTGTCCCTGAACTGAGAGACCCGGGTTCAAATCTGTGTGTAATAACATCTCTAAGCACCTTTACTCAACAACTTTATCTCAAACGTTGCTGGGAATGGAAGGTTTGAATTGTAGGGATAAGCTGGGCCTTATCTCACTGGAGTGTAGGAGGTTGAGGGGTGACCTTATAGAGGTTTATGAAATCACGAGGGGCATAGATAAGTTGAATAGCAGGTGTCTTTTCCCTAGGGTGGGGATTTCAAGACTGGGGGCATATTTTTAAGGTTGAAGAAAAAGATTTAAAAAGACATGAGGGGTGATCTTTTTTTACACAGAAGGTGGTTCGTGTGTAAAATGAGAGGAAGCGGTGGATGTGGGTACAATTACAACATTTAAAAGATGTTTAGGTAAGTACATGAATAGGAAAGGTTTGGAGGGATATGGGGGAAGTGCAGGCAGATGGGACTAGTTTAGTTTGGGAACATGGTCAACATGGGCTGGTTGGGCTGAAGGGTCTGTTTCAGTGCTGTATGATTCTATGACTCTGTAATAGGTTGATTAGAAAATACCTAAAGTTGCAGATTTTAGGAATGAAGCTGCAGCCTTAAGTGAGGATATACTGTACTGTAATTCTTTTGCCCAGTTGCTGACAAATAAATAACAATGTTTGACGGTAAGTATCACCCACCCACCTGTCTCTCGGAGGTCGTTGGCCTTGGTTCTGGCCATTCGTGCTTTGGAGCTGTCTTTAGCGTGCGGGTTGTCATTGTTGGTGAACAGCATGATGCGTTTGTGGCTCAGCTTGAGCCGGACATCACTGAAGAGGTTGGAGCAGACCCAGAGAGCGTCACCCAGTGAGCCATCCGTGCTGTGTCCTATCTGCTCCTTGAAGGAACGCTTCCCTTTCTCTCCCTCGTACTGGTCCAGTTCTAACACTCGCTTAGCACCTGTGTCCGGAGGGATGGATTCAGTTTAGAACATCAATCTACTAAACACACATCACAGAATGGCCCATCCTGCTCTCTATCCAACATAGTGACACAGACTTCAGAAACCTGCCCTTACACTTTTCAGACTAAGATGGAATTTAATTGCATTGTGACTATTTTATCCCAGGGAATCTCTTACCATGTGATTGCTATTTGAACTTGGCTCATTTCAGAATATTGGAGGCAGGAAGGTTGTGGAGGCTCCACCTTGCACCAAAACGTGTTCCCCCAATATCTCTGTAATGATGATTAGATCTAAGTCATTTATTTCGAATTGTGCTGCCCGTTTATCTATCTTGTTACGAGTGCTTTCAGATTCAGAGACAGAAGTTTTCCTACTGTTTTAACTGCTGTTCTTTGCACAGGCCTTATTTGTGAATGCACTCTCACCATTAGACTCTGTCCCTTCCTGTCCAACTCGGCTAGTTATTACTGTATTGGCCATGACTTTGCTTTTAGAGGTTTCCAAATCTCCCTTTACCTGACTGCACTTTTAGTTTCTAACACCTGATCCACACCCTACTTTTTTCTTTATTTCTAAAATATACTTTAGTCATAAAAATGTCTTTATATACATACATAGTCACTAAAGCAGTTCGAGAATCGTAGAATCCCTATGATGTGGAAACAGGCCATTCAGCCCAACAAGTCCACACGACCATCGAAGAGCATCCCATTCCCCCATCCCCTTGCATTTCCCATGGCTCACACACCTAAATTGACACACCCTGAACACTATGGGACACTTAGCACAGCCAATCCACCTAACCTGCACATCTTTGGACTGTGGGAGAAAACCGGAGTACCCAGCAGAAAACCATGCAGACATGGGGAGAATGTGCAAATTCCACACAGACAGTTGCCCGAGGCTGGAATTGAACCTGGGTCCCCGACTGGGAGGCAGCAGTATTGAGCCACCTTGCTGCCTCAAACTTTAGATAATACCAAGATGGAATTACAGCACATGATTATAGCAAGTTATAATCAAGTCTGGACAAATTGTGTGCATTGTGTTTAGAACCGTGTGCACAGATGTTCTTCAAATGAATGCACATGCATAGTGGGCTGCAGATGCAGGTGTCAGCTAACACTGCCGTAAAACTAAGGCAATTAGAGGGATTGACTCACTTCAGCCACCATTAGCTAAGTATCAGTCCTTCTCTTTAAACTGTGTCTCGTTGAAGTCGACACAAAGAACATCAAAACACAATGCAATCATGCTGACATTACCTGCCTTGAAATTCGTTGCTATTTGTCAGCTCATGTTACACCTGTACAGTAATATATGAAGAAACAAACATTTGAGTTTGACTCTATCCAACAAACTAACTCGAGGCATTCCTTACAAGATTATAAATAATGTGCATTTGGGGCATCAGGTGGGTCCGATAACTGAGCGGACCCACATTTAACTTGGGTAGAAAGAACTCACACGGTGGTCTTTCCCCACAGTGCCTTAGCAGCAGCTGCCCCAAGTTTTACTGCGTCCCTCAGCATGTAGTCCTGGACCTTGGGGTGTGCCAATCTGTAACACCCCTTGCTCTGGAAGACCAACAAGTTTCAGGCAGACCAAAGAACGTCTTTCACCGAGTTCATGGTCCTCCAGGCGCCACAGTTTAAATATAAATTTTCTTGTTCACTGAGCCCAGAGCAGTTTCAGTGGTGCCTGTCCCAGCAAATTAACTCTCTTTCTTCACTTCCCCTCATGTAGTGCCAGGGCCCCATAGATCAAAGCAAAGAATTGCAAAGAGGTTCTTCTGAAGAAGTCATATTGGACTCAAAACGTTAACTCTGTTTCTCTCTCCACAGATACTGAACTCCTCCAGCATTCACTGTGCTTGTTTCAGATTTCCAGCATCCATCGTATTTTGCTTTTATCCAATGAGGAAAGGTGGGTGAATGTGATAAGGGGAAAGGAAAACCAACAGCAGCAGTAGTGGCATTTATATATCACCGCTCACCATTTCAGACATCCCCAAGTATTAACCAGTCAATGAAATGTCCCACTGTTCTGCCCAATTGTTATTTCTCAGCCACTAACAAACAGCCTGGTCATTACAAAAACCAAAAGAACTGCGGATGTTGGGAATCAGAAACAAAAACAGAAAAAACAGTAAATGCTTAGCAGAGATAATAGGAACTGCAGATGCTGGAGAATGCAGCAGGTTTGGCAGCATCTGTGAAGAGAAATTGGAGTTAATGTTTCAGGTCCAGTGACCCTTCCTCAGAATCGATAGTAGCTGGGAAAACGTTGGTTTTTATGCAGAAGACAGGGTGGGGGGAGGGGCTAAGGATAAATGAGAGGTGGAGATAGAGACCCCGACTCTTTGTCTGGACAAGGTCAAAAATCACATGATACCAAGTTATGGTCCAACAGGTTTATTTGAAGACACAGCTTTCGGAATCTTGCTCCTTCTTTAGATGTTAGAGAGAGCGGTGGCATCAGACACAGAATTTATAAGCAAAAGCTCAAAGGGTCACAGAACTGATGTAAATGTATCAAACAAACCTAAGATGGCTGTTAAATCTTTAATCAGTTGGAAAGGAGATGCAGGTTTCAACTGATTAATATGCAAATCCCAGAGTTACTTTCAAGTCATTGCCCTACTTTGGAAATTAAACCAGTCTGACTCCAAGTTAAAACACAGACAAGATTCTAAACAAAGCCTCACACCTAAAATGCATTGTCTGACCTGAGATGTCACTTCTGGTACACTGATAAAACCTTTAGTTCTCTTAGGGCAGTGACTACCCATTGTCATTATCATGCTGGTGTTCACTGCTACATTTTCTACGTTACAATTTGCATGGAGCAAGACTCCAAGAATGCAGGCAGGAGATACTCCGTAGCAGGTTTAAACAGACAGGTACCGAACAGCTCTGAGGAAGGGTCACCAGACCTGAAATGTTAACTGTGATTTTTTTCTTCACAGATGCTGCCAGACCTGCTGAGCTTCTCCTGCAACTTCTGTTTTAGGTACCGAACATTACCTGGTGTGTCCAAGTCATGGAGAACGTAAACATGCTTGAAGTCTACAGAGTTCTTGTGCTTCTGAGTCCCAAAGAACACGACAGCCAATAGATCACGCTCACTGCTGATAATCTTACTGGTGTATACCCTGTGAACACACTGTAAGCACAGAGTCACATCGGTCAGCAATAGAACTAGATATGGTTCTTGGTGGAACAAGAGAACATCTGGACATCTAGCTTAAAGCAATTCAAAAGCACTCCAGAGCTACCACCTTAAACATTCACTCCCTCCACCATCGATGTACAGTGACAGCAGTGTGTACCATCTGCAAGAAATACTGTAACATAGGTTTAAGAGGAGAAAGATTTAAAAGGGACCTAAGGGACAATTTTTTCACACAGTGAATGTGCGTGTATGGTTTGAGCTGCCAGAGGAGGTGGTGAAGGCTGGTACAATTACAACATTTAAAAGACTTTTGGATGGGTACAAGAATAGGAAATGTTTAGAGGGCCATGGGCCAAATGCTGGCAAATGGGACTAGATTAATTTAGGATATCTGGTCGGTATGGACCAAAGGATCTGTTTCTGTGCTCTTCATCTCTATGACTCTATACCTCACTGTGGCTCCTTAGACAGCATCTTGCAAACCCTGATCTCTACCTCTCAAAGGACAGTGGCAGTAGATACATGGGAACACCAGCCCTGTAAGTTCCCCTCCAAACCACTCACCATCCTGACTTAGAAGTATATTACTGTTCGTTCAAAACGCTGGAATTTCCTCCCTAACAGCACTGTGGATATCCCTACACCACACGGATCACAGCTCTCCACCACGTTCTCAACGGCAATTAAGGATGGGTAATAATACCAGTGCCATCAATGAAATTCCACAATAAAGAAGTTGTACTCTGGCAGCTTTCCTGTGCCATCGCTCACGCTAAGTCGGACAGCATGCAGTTTTGTAAGGGCAGAAAGGCTGCACTGTGGGATTATTTTATTTCTAAAATGAAACTTTCTCTTCTCAAGCCTTGCCCAAGGTCCTCTGGTCTACTAGAGGGTGACTAATTATCTCTCCCGAAATCTGAAGCCAATTTCAAATCCCAGGTCTCTTCCAAGGTCATGATGAAAAGTGTTGCTTTTCTCCCCTTGATTTTAAAGTTGATTTACTTCAGTAATCAAGTGTGACAGATGTGAGCTGAGCACAGTCAGGGAACCTGCAGGTGGTGCATGTGTCTGTTACTCTTGTCTTTCTGGATGGGAGTGGTTGTGGGTCAGGTGAAGGAGCCTCAGTGAGTTGCTGCACTGTATCTCGTAACCCAAGAGACCATGGTGGGATTTGAACACAATCACTGGGTCACTGGGCCTGCATTGTGACCACGACACTATCAGAGCTGCATAGCTGTGTCCACAGTGGACATACCAATAGTTATCTCTTACCTTATCAGTTTTCTCTTACCTGCATAGTCATGTCAAATGCGGAGGTGTCATCATCGTTCATTTCAAACATGGCTTCTGAGGCATCGATGAGAAAAATTAAGCTGTCTCTTCCAGCATATCTGACATCCTCTAAAAGTACAGATGGAAAAGTGAGGAAGGTGATTGTGTGACTAACCACATCATTCCTGCTCTGACCCACCCAGGAATTCCCTGCCCAGTGAAGCAGCTCAGGCTACCTTGTTGAATGTTTTTAAGGCAAAGATAGATTTTTGAACAGTAAAGGAATTAAGGGTAATGGCGAGCGTCAGGTAAGTAGAGCTGAGTCCACAAAAAGATTAGTCATGATCTTATTGAATGGCGGGGCAGGCTTAAGGGGCCAGATGGCCTACTCCTGCTCCTAGTTCTTATGTTCTTATTATTTCTGTTTGGAAGAACAGTGACTCTGCAAAGTCCCAATGCATTTGATACACGTTTCCCCTTCGTAAATAAAAGTCTGTAACTGTGGTCTAACAGCCTTATACAGGCTGACTTGGGGGAATGCAGGCATCAGCTTCTTCAAAACTAAAGAAAAATGCTGCAGGCATTGGAAATCTGCAATGAAGACAGAAAATGCTGGAAGCACAGCATGTGGCACCAGAGAGTGAGAAAGAGTTCATGACTCAGGGCAAGGACCATCTTCACAACTTTTGGAGGTTGTGGCTAAGACACACAGCAGGAACATTTCTGTTGTGCAATCTACAATGACACAACTTTTGCAAAAACAAAACTAAGAAAGGCTTGGAACATTGTGAACTGTGAAGAGGATAGCATTAAAACTTCAAGAAAGGAGGGAAGAAGGGAGTGGTGTAGTGGTAATGTCACTGGGCAGAATCCTCTGGGGACATGGGTTCAAATCTCACCAGGGCAAGCGGTGAAATTTGAATTGAATAATGATCTCGAATTAAAAGATAAGATAATGGCAGCCATGCCACCTTTGTTAACTGTCACTAAAAACCATGTAGTTCACTAATCCCCTTTCGGGTGGGAGATCTACTGGTGTGGCTCAGACGTAGCCTCTGAAATGATCATGGGGCAGTTAGGGATGGGCAATAAATGCAGGCCTCACCAAAGATGCCCATATCCCATCAGTGACTAAAACAAATTCATGGACAGGTCGATGGGATGAGCAGTCACATAGCAGATGACACTAATGCAGAGACACGTGAAGTGATGTGTTTTGGAGGGAAAAATAAGTCAGACATTAAACTGAAGGGTATAATTCTGAAGGGGGTACAGGAGCAGAGGGACTTGGGCGTATATTGGCAGGACAGGTTGGAAAAGGCATTTGGGATCCTGGGTTTTACAAATAGGGATATTTAGTAAAAAAAAAGCAGATTACGGTGAAACTTTGTAAAACACCGGTTTGCCCTCGGCTGGAGTCTGTTGTCTGATTCCGGTTACTGGTTTACAGGAAGGTTTTTTAAAAATTAATTCACAGGATGAGGGTGTCACTGGCTGGCCCAGAATTTAGTGCCCATCCCTAATTGCCCAGAGGGCAGTTAAGAGCCAACCACATTGCTGCGTGTCTGGAGTCACATGGAGGCCAGACCAGCTGAGGATGGCAGTTTCCCTTCCTTAAAGGACATTACTGAGTTAGATGGGTTTTTCCGACAATCAGCAATGGACTCACGGTCATCATTAGATTCCTAATTCCAGATTTTTAAAAAAATTGCATTCAAATTCCATCATCTGCTGTGGTGGGATTCGAACCTGGGTCCCGAGAACATTAGAGATAACAAGGTGTAGAGCTGGATGAACACAGCAGGCCAAGCAGCATCAGAGGAGCAGGAAAGCTGAC